AGTACGACCCCGTTACACCACTTGGCCTTTTCTTATTTCCTTCCTATTTCCTTTCTCTTTTCATCTCATCTCCTTTGGTTTCCTATTCTCCATTTTCTCTTAATCTGTGGTTTATCCTGCTATTATCATTATATCACCGACCAGGATTGGGATGTACTAGCGCGCTATATCTAGCGTAATCCTGCCGTAATCCCTTAAAGCCAATAGCCTCGCGTGGCTATACGCAGTGTGATTCTATATTCTAGAAGGGTCTATTCCTTTAGGATAAGATAAACCTGGATACCTGATGTACTCAAGAAGTATAAAAGCACCTTATACCGATCGGTAGTGCAATCTTTCCTCGAGTCATTTGATCCTGTGACAGCTGAGGTCCTGGAGACAGCCGACACCAACCAGGTTCCTCGAGAACGAGGGAACGTGGAGACCTGTAAGGGAGCCCGAGGGAACTGCTGGACATGGAAGGGACGTGGAACTGCGAGCGACGACATGACCCGCAAAGGGGTCAGCAAGAGAGACAACACCAGGCGTAGCAAGCGGCGTGAGCGCGCAGCGGTCGCGGAAGAAGCAGGCAGAGGCACCGGAGTCGAGAGTGAAGGACAGCGAAGCATCGGCGGAGGCCGGGAACGGAGCCGGTTGAGAGACTAGGCTATGCAAACTAGGCAGTCCTACGCCTGACGCAGCAGGGGAGGCTAAGCTACATAATGGAGCTACACCAAGGCTAGAGTACACAGGGTAATAAGATCCAGCAACACTAGAAGCGTCAGAATACAAAGCATGCAAAGCAGCACCTATCTGATCCATGTCTAACTCAAAGATCGGCACGCCCTGGCGGAGCAGGCTGTGCCAGTCGGGGAGGTCCGGGGCCGGGCCAAAGCGACGACGAAAGAGATCGTCGAGGCGGCGGAAACAGCGGGCGAACGGGTGCGGGCGGCGGCACAGAGTGCCGCGGAGAGGACCGGTCTTAAGCTGGTACTATCAGGTCACAGCACCGGAGCCGCCGGTAGACGCCAAGCTGCGCGGGCCACAGCCACTACCTCCGGAGGTGCCGGGCCAGCCAGCCGGGAGACGGGCCGACTGCTGCTGGGACGGCGGCTGCAGCTGGGGCGACGGCTGCTGCTGGGGCTGCTGCTCCTGCCCACCGGTGGTAGCCCCCGCAGGCGGACTACCGTCATGACCACCACCACCACCACTACCTGCACCACCACCCCTACCTCCCTGACGAGCACGGCCACCACGGCGCGAGCGCTGCTGCGGGTGGACCGTAGCAGCCGTCTCGGTGAGAGGGGTCGCCGTGGCGACCGCAACCGAAACGTCAATGAAGGTGCACTGGGAGGGGGCACAGCCGTGAAAGATAGAGACTGCCGGCGCACCGCTCGACTGAGCGATAGTGCGCTGGGAAGTCTCGATCTCGGTGAGGGTATCGACAAAGGCGGTGAGGGTGAGATCACCCGGGTGCTGGCTAAGGAAGTGATCGCGAGCACTAGCGAGGCGGTCTGGCAGGCGCATGACGATAAAATAGAGCGTCATGCAGAAAGGGGGGGGGGAGCGCAGTGAGCTGGGCAGCAGTGCTGGCAGCGCGATAGCGGGTCTCTAGGGCACGCAGGTGAGTGGCAAATTCTGCGACGGTAGGGAAGGCTGCAAGGTCTGGGAAAAGCATAGGGAAGAGCAGGCGGCCAACAGAAGCAGACGCGGGTATGGAATAGCGAGCAATAACGGCGTCTAAGTAAGCTTTGGCCGTCTCTATAGTAGCAAAGCGCGAGCGCTCAGACACAGGGAGGGCGTGGCTAATAGCAACCTGAGCGACTGCATCGCGAGAGTCCCAGACCGCACGGGCAAGCGCAGCAGTAGAGAAGGTCTCACGGTCATCAGAGGAGGGGTCAGCAGGGAGGGGAGCAGGTGGGGGGGGGCGGGGGAGCAAGCCATCGACATGGACAACCAAAGAGTGGCCATCCTGGCGCTGACCTGTAAGGTGGCGGCGGAGATCGGAGAGCCAGGCGGCGAAGTCAACCGCATGACCCTCAGCGTCTAGGCGGAGCACCAAGTCGGCCATCGTGCAAGGTCAGCAGCACAGCTCCACAGCTCCGTAGGAACTCAGCGACGCAGGGACACGGCGGCGGCACTCTCCAGCACGGCAGCCGCGAGACGCCCCGGCGTTGGCGAGTAGAGGAGACGGAGCTCGAGGTGGCACGACAGGCCGAGCAGGCACGAAGAGGGGCCAGGCGAGTAGTGGGAGAGGCCAGAGAGATGCAGCGGGGCCAGGCAGGCGCGGCAGGGCCAGGCAGGCGCGGCGGGGCCAGGCAGGCGCGGCAGGGCCAGGCAGGCGCGGCGGGGCCAGGCAGGCGCGGCAGGGCCAGGCGGGCGCGGCGGGGCCAGGCAGGCTCGGCGGGGCCAGGGAGGCGCGGCGGGGCCAGGGAGGCGCGGCAGGGCCAGACATGCACGGCGAGGCCAGGCAGGCGCGGCGGGGCCAGGCAGGCGCGGCAGGTGTCAGGGAGGCGCGGCGGGGCCAGGGAGGCGCGGCGGGGCCAGGCGGGCGCGACGGGGCCAGGCAGGCGCGGCAGGGCCAGGGAGGCGCGGCGGGGCCAGGGAGGCGCGGCGGGGCCTAGCAGGCGCGGCGGGGCCTGGCAGGCGCGGCAGGGGCCAGGCAGGCGTGGCGGGGCCAGGAAGGTGCGGCGGGGCCAGGCAGGCGCGACGGGGCCAGGCGGGCGCGACGGGGCCAAGCGGGCGCGGCGGGGCCAGGCAGGGCGCGGCGGGGCCAGGCAGGCGCGACGGGGCCAAGCGGGCACGGCGGGGCCAGGCAGGGCGCGACGGGGCCAAGCGGGCGCGGCGGGGCCAGGCAGGGCGCGACGGAGCCTAGCAGGCGCGACGGGGCCCAGGAGGGGCGTGACGGGGCGAGGAGGCGCGACGGGGCCCAGGAGGGGCGCGACGGGGCTAGGGGGCGCGACGGGGCCCAGGAGGGGCGCGACGGGGCTAGGGGGGCGTGACGGGGCCCAGGAGGGGCGCGACCGGGCTAGGAGGCGCGACGGGGCCCAGGAGGGGCACGACGGGGCTAGGAGGCGCGACAGGGCCCAGGAGGGGCGCGACGGGGCCAGGAGGCACGGCAGGGCCCAGGAGGAGCGCGACGGGGCTAGGAGGCGTGACGGGGCCCAGGAGGGGCGCGACGGGGCTAGGAGGCGCGGCAGGGCCCAGGAGGGGCGCGACGGGGCTAGGAGGCGCGACGGGGCCTAGCTAGGGTACGGGCGGAAGCGGTAGGTGGGGGATCCTAACCTACGCGTGATACCATGTTAAAGTAAGAACTGAATAATGAACTAGAAGTGGAAACCTAGAACAAATACTAGCTGGTTGTACTCACTAGAAACATACCCCAGTCTAGCCTATAACGTGTAAACAGCTAACATGTATAAGTTGACACCAGGTGCAGCTTGTTCCTGACAGACAGATGCCTTGGGGGCGTATGGCAGGGTGCCCTTCACGAAAGGGAGGGTAGCCTGCCTGTACTTTCTCTTGAGGGAGGAAGTACTATCGGTATCGAGCCTCTCGGCTCTTGCCGGCTTGACAGTTGGCGGGGGCGGTGAGGCGGCATGCACTGGCGACTGGGGAGGGGATGAGAGTGGCGCGGACCACTGATATCCGTCGCTCTCTGGCGCAGCGGACTTGGGCTCGGGCGCTGGGTGAGGATCGGCGTGAGACGGAGCGGTGGGAGCACTCGACTGTTCTAATACTTCGGCGGGCGATAGAGCGGCACTACCACCGAAACCTAGCAACCTCTTTAGGTAGTCTAAGCTCGTAAGTTGGGACGGGTTGGAGTCATCGGGCTGACCATCACCCTCCGCCTCAGCCTCCTCGCCAGCCATACAGGGCTTGACGTCCCTCCGCCTCAGCCTCCTCGCCAGCCATACAGGGCTTGACGTCCCTCCGCCTCAGCCTCCTTGCCAGCCATACAGGGCTTGACGAAAGCATGAACCAGAGTCGGGAAATAACCGGTCAGATTCAGACAAACAGAAACTATAGCCTGTACAGTTCAGACAAATCTAAACTTGTTGTCGAACTCAATCAGACAAAACCAAAACCTTGTCTTGCCACTTAAGACAAACCCTAAGTCTGAAAATCAGATGTTCAGACAAGTTTTGTTTGCAAAAGAGGACACTGATAATGACCCTATTGTATGATTATTTCAAGGTACACGCCCAATCAGCTTTACATTCGGCTAACCGCCAATACTCTTCTATTGCACCTCAACCTGTTATAATTCCTTCTATCCGGTCTATCTCAACCTGTGTCAACAAATCTCAAAGCATTTATGACTGTTCGGTTTGTGCCTTATGGAATAATATCATAGGCAATAGCAGATTCTGCAGTGTAGTCGATAACCATCTACCGGTATGATATGCTCCAATCGAGGTGCTCTAAGGGCGTGTAGCCTACGGTTTCGTCGGCCTAGTTCCGGAACTCAGTTCCGAACTCGATATACGCCAGTTCCGTTCGTCGCTGGAACATCGAGTTTCGAAACTCAACTATGATTGCTGTCCGTCAGTGGAACATCCAGTTTCGAAAGTGGATGTTCCATCATTCAAACGTTTGAATGACGTGCGAAACGTAATATGCGAATCTTTGAAGCCCCAACCCCTCGTAAGCCATTCAAACGCTAGGCATGATGAATCTCGTGGCACACATTTTGTTTATGTCACTTCCACGATTGGCGGTTCACGCGCGCGAGTATATTCGTTCGTTGACTTGGTGCTCTTTCCTCTCGCAGGCCTCGCGTGTTCTTTTCGCACAGAACTGGAGGAGATTCTCGAACGGCCGTCCGGACGACCGTTCGAAACTGGCGTCCGGACGACGCTGGAACATCGAGTGTCGAAACTGAAGAATCCTTCGCAACACGGTTAGCGAAAATATGTGCGCATTGTGGCGATATCTGTCACCACACCAAAACTTGGACGGAACTCAGTTCCGAAACCGTAGGCTAGACGCCCTAAGCAGACACGTTCACCCAAACCACCGCGAGACCGACACCTCTCCCACCAGCGCAGATAACACAGCCATCCACCTCCCCGTCCCGCACACAGCGCGCACAGAGAACACTGTGCGCTTTACCCCAGCAGACACCCGCTTTTGATGGAGATGCACCTCCTGCCTTCCCTCCCCTCGCCCCACGGCCTCTCTCGGTTCTCCTCTCTCGCATCGCTCTCCCCGTTCCACGCTTTCCCCGCCATTCGCGCTCCCCAATTCTCTCGCGCGCGTCCCCTCGTGTTCCGCCCCCTGACTGCGCACGAGCCTCCTCACCCTTTAAACCACCCGCGCTTTGCCCTCCTTGCGCAAACTCTCCCCACCCCCGGCTTCTGCTCGTGCCCGCGTGCCCCCACTTCCGCCGACTCTCCCTTCCGCTGCGCCCCCGCAGCGAGCGGAGACTGGCGGAGGCGGTCGGATGCACGCGTGTGGGCGCACCAGGCGGCATGCGCGGATGGGGCAGGGGGGCAGGCGGAAGGGCTTGCGGAGCGGAACGGTGGCGCGAACGGTAACGACTGCAGCTGGGCGCCGCCGCGGCTGAGGTGAGAAGGGGAGAGTGAAACACACTTGCCTGGTGGTGGGGCTACTCGCTACATGAGGCAAGGGCGCAGCGGAGCGTGGCATATGATTGTGGGTGGGGGAGAGGGGGGCGCTGGGTATTGGGGAGTTTGAGCGTCCAGCAGACTTGAGTGAGTTGGGGCGACGATGTCCCAATGCATGCGTACACACGGGGGGGGGAAGGGGAGAGCGAGAGGAGTGAGTGCGGGGGGAGGTGTGCAGGCAGAGTGCTACTATGTGCGATGGCTGTCCGTTGTTGTGGCACTGTATTGGCAAAGAGTGGGATGGAGGGAGGTTTGGGGTTTGGGGGTTGAGAAGGTTTCTGGGGTGGAAGGGGATGCTGGAACGCAGGAGAGATGTGGAGCATATTTTGGGGGTTACAGTGGCAGGAATGAGTGGCGATGGAATGCCGTGGACCAAGAGTGGAGAAGTGGGCGAGTCGGGAAGGCCGTAGCAGTGCGTGGCAGGCAGCAGTGTGGTTGCGAGTAGACACAGGCCGTAGTTTAGATTATTATACAGCTCGTAGTATTGATATACTTCTAGCCCTCATTGCTATCCCTCTTCTCCCTCCTCCCCCCTCCTCCTCGCCTCAGCGTGGCGCCCATGATGGACTGGACGGACTGCCACTACCGGCAGCTGGCGCGGCTGATGAGCCGCCACACGTGGCTGTACACCGAGATGGTGGTGGACAACACGCTGCTGCACCAGCAGCCCCACCTGGTGCGTGGGTGTGAGTGAGTGTGCGTGCATGAGTGAGTTGGGACTTGGAGTGCCATGTGCGCCGCTCATGTACCGACATCCCGAGGCACGCGCGGCTGTACTCAGAGACGGTGGTGTTCGGACATAACTCTCATGTGCGTTCATCGCTATGCCGGTTGGTTGATTCACATTCTCTCAGCTCAGCCCCTTTCGCACCAACTCCCTCGTTCCTCGCCCCCTCCCCCCTGCCACCCCCTCCCCCCCCGGCCATCACCCCACCAGGATCGGTTCCTGCTCTCCCCGCGCTCCCAGCGCCCTGTGGTGCTGCAGCTGGGGGGCAGTGACCCTCCCTCGCTTGCAGAGGCCACTCGCCTGGCGCTGCCATATGCATATGATGAGATCAACCTCAAGTGAGTGCGGTGCTGTGCGGTTCTTACAGTTTACGTTTCTCTCGCAATTCGGAGCACGGGCCACTCGCCTGGCGCTGCTGTATCAATATGATGAGGTCAATCAACCTCAGGTGAGTGAGGTGCTAGGCGCTTGCCCCTTGACCAACTTTGGTTCGGGCCGGGCCGGGCTGGTCCAAGGTCGGGCCGACTTTGGGAACTCTCCGGCCCGTGCCCAGGTTTAGGGGTTGGGCCTGTGAGAAAATGTGAACTTAGCAAGTTCATTAGGAAGGAGAGCACAAGGGCTTACATACGAATGAGAGGGTAGGGGGGAGTCCTGGTTGGGTTCCTGTGCCAGCATTATTGTCCCCACTTATGAGGTGGGTTGGCCAACTTTCTGGTAAACCCAATAATGTTGGCCAGAGTGGCCACAATCATTGGGGGGGACCAATAGTTGGGGACTCAACCTGCCAAGGGCGAATACTGGCAAGGATGGGAACCCAACTTTGGGAACTCGATCCCAACTAGGGTGGTTAACCCTAGTTTACACCCAACACTCATCTGACCCGTTATATCTATCCAAGCAATCTAGTCTATGCGGGATAAGGGTAGAGGGATATTCAAACAGGGCCGGCCTTGGCCCAGGGGTGGGCCGGGACGCCCGCCCCCCAAAACCGGGTCGGGGGCGGGCAGGGTGCCGCCTAAGCAGCATGCGGAAAGACATGGTTGATTGATTCAGCGCACCTTTCTCGATGTAAGGGTAAAGTGCAGCAGTTCAGTGTATCCATGTTGTCGCATTCCCCCCCTGCCTTTCTCTTCCACACATTCAGTTTGCGTGCTTCCCCATGCGTCTGCTGCCACCACCGTCTTCCACCTCTTGTTGCTTCCTCCGCCCCCCTTCCTCTTCTTATCGCCCACCTCTTCTTCCCGCTCTCCTCTGGCTCCTCCTCTCCTTCTCCCCCCCCTCCTCTTCCGTCCCTATCCTCTCCCCCTTTCCTCCCTTCCTTCCCTCCCCGCCCATCAGCTGCGGCTGTCCCAGCCCCGCTGTGTCGGGCCACGGGTGCTTTGGTGCCCGCCTCATGCTCTCACCGAAGGTGCGCTCTTTCCCTCCTCTCCTCGTCTCCCCTTTCCTGCCCTCCCAACGTCTCTCGTTGCCTCGCCATGCTTCGTCTCCACCGCATCCTGATCCTTCCACTGAAGGATGTGCCTCCTGCTCCTGATTCCTGCTGCCATCTGCTGTGTCGTCATCTATTTCTGACCAGACTATCAATCACCCGCTCGCCCCTTCTCTGCACTTCTCACCCTCCAAGCCCCCTTCTCCACACCCCCGCCCTCCCCCCACCACCCCGCCCACCCCACCCACCTTCCTCGCAGCTGGTGACGTCCATGCGTTTAGTGATGGAGGAGACAGCAGGGGAACTTCAAGCATACCATCTTTCCTCCATCTTGTTTCAACTGAGAAGCATCATCCCCCCTGTCTTCCCCCTTCCCACCCCCTGCTCCTCTCAGCTGGTGGCGTCCATCTGTGCGGCCATGGGCGAGGTAGCGGGGGCAGCAGGCGTGCCGGTGACAGTGAAGTGCCGCATTGGCGTGGACGACTGCGACTCGTACGAGCAGCTGCGTGGGTGCTGTGGTTGGGGTGGGAGGGGGGCACAGGGAAGGGGGATGGCTCGGGAAGGGGACAGGGGCAGTAGCTTTGGGCGCTAGGAAGGCTTGAGGGGGAGAGGAGGGGTTGTTGAGGGGGGGGAGGCTTGGGAAAGTGGAGTGGGTGGTAGTTATGGCGCTAGGCAGTGACAGTGAAGTGCCGCACAGGTGTGGACGACTGCGACTCGTACGAGCAGCTGCGTGGGTGCTGGATCAAGTGTGGGAGAGGGGGGTAGGGGAGGGGGGTAGGGGAGGGGGGTGGTTGGGGTTTGGACAGGGAGAAGGGGCAGTAGCTGTGGCGCTAGGAAGGCTAGAATTCCCGCATTGGTGGAATGATTGCTACTCGTACGAGCAGCTGCGTGGATTGCGCTGGGATGGATTGGGAAGGGGGAAGGGAGGGGGGTTTGGGGACGCGGGAGGGTTGGGGAAACGGGAGGTAGACATGATCAAAATGCGATTGCAATTTAAATCGCATCGCATGTTGGTGCGATGTAAAAAAAAACGATGCGAGCGGGGGTGTGTGGGGAGTACGAGGGTGCGGGGAGGGAGGTTCAAGGGGGGGGGAGGGGAGGGGAAGAAGCAAGCATCAAGCATAGTCATTGGTGTAGCACATTGTCAACATAAGGTAATCTCCTAGTCGAGCCCGAACCCCGCAGCACGCTCGCCCTCACAGCCCTGGACCGACCTCAAGGCCCTGCTCCCATGCCTCGTCTGCCGTCTCGTCATCTTCCGCTGCTAGTGTGCCATTAAGCCGCTGTCCTGGGTGAGAGGCAATCCATGACTTCAGCATCATGCAAGCACGGATTCGCTTCGCACCCAAGCGGTAGCGTTGCCAGTGGATTGTTGAGAATATAGCCCTGATCCTGCGAAGGTTGCAGAAGTCTGCTGAAGCGGCATATCAACGAAGTATGCGGACACGAGCCCTGCAGAAAGGCCCATCGACGAATAGCAGATTCGTCGACAAGGCGAGGCTCTGCGGGAAGTGGCAGAGGAGCAACTATCGTTGGTGTCAGAAAAGCGGTTCTGTCGGAGTGGCAGAACAAGAGCGCTTTTTCTGCATATGGCTTCTACATCGACATGTGCTTTTGTAGAAGCGATCTCGGCAGAATCGAGAGTGTACAAGACCCTCTGCCAAATTGACACCAGGGGCCATTCGCAGAAGGGTTGTCCTCTGTCGTAGTATCGCGCGGAAGACATTTCTGCAGGCGACCCTCTCGGCAGAAACGACTCTCGGAAATGCGTTCCAACAGGACCTCGGGCAGAGTGGCGCAAGGACCTGTTCGCGCTGAATTGCGTTCTGCGGGAGTTCGGCACAAAGGCAATTCGGCTATCTCTTCTGTTGTCGACCCCCTCGGCAGAGACGAAATTTGGCAGAAGCATGGCAGAGAGTCATGTCGGACTTCGCTTCTGCGAGCGACCCCTTCGACAGAAAAACGGGGACTTAGTTTTTCTGATGAAGGTAACGTTCCGAAATCGCGAGTTTGCGATTTCGTAAGTTAACCAGAGAACCGAGCTGAACCGAAAAACGGCAAAATCTACCTGCGACATTGAGAAATTGAACACGTGACGCACATTTCGTAACCGCGGAAATGTGCGTAACATTTGACAGTTTCATATATGAAACTGTTAAAACAACTACTTCTAAGTGGGTAAAAATTACCATCCAAGCATGTGCTGTAATTTCACCTGCCATTGCTGACTTGGCTAAGCGCAGCTTAGAGTAGTTATGTAAAAGTTCTCGTGCGAACGTTCTCTCCGTGTTCAATGAGGTTCAATGGGGTAGTACTAGTGTTTGCCTTGTGTACCATACTTTGTAATTTTGATTCTAGTGAATTTGTGTGCCCAAGCTTTCTCAAGCTACCCAGTGAAACACACAATTCTGAAGGCAACTCTCTCCTTAGAGAACCACAGAGCTAGAGAGCTCTATCTGCGTCAGGCACTTCCGCAGAAGCTCCCGTTACAGCAGAAAACTCTGCATGGTGCGGTGAGCGTGGATCGAACACGCGAACGATAGAGGTCGAATCTACTACGTTAGGTCTCGCAGAAGGTCTCGATTGTCGATATGACGGATGGCGAGTCAAACGTCCGTGAGGTGGTCGACGATCTCGAGGCGCAGGAGGCTGCCTTGATAGCCCGCTATGAAGACCTCCCAAAGAAGGAGCTCAACTTCATGCTGATGGGGTTACGAGCTCAATGGGAGATGGATCATCCGCGGGCGCGTGCAGTGAAAGTCTCCCGAGACAAGGAGAACGTGGAAGGTTTGGCAGGAGGCGGAGTGCGAGAGTCACACGGTGTTCTACGAGAAGGAGAAACGCCGAATGGTGAAGGATCAAGCGTGGGCGACGGAAGGGACCCTGCAAGGGAGTCAAGCTTGTGTTATAATCACAATAGGCTTAGATGTGCCTATAATGAGAGATAGAGAGCACAGTCGGATTTCTGTCAGACGGCTTCAAATACTGATAACGATCTGGTCACTGAATCAAACGGTGATGTGTAAATTGGATCTGGAGCGTGTTGCTGTCGTCTATCAGCAGCAAGTTGAATCATGAAATTCCATGAAGATTTGACGACGCTATGGCGGTTTGACTGGCAGGAGGTATAGCAGCCACAATAGTCTTAGGAGTACAAACTTAGCAAGAAGAGTTCGAGAGGGAGATGGTTCCCAGCCTCTACATACCCCAAGAGCCGAGGTCCAGGTTGGTGGTACACCACCACAGGGTCCCCAACCATGAAGAGTCTCGAAACCAACCCTCCAAGGGGCTACACCAAGTGAAATGTAACACTACACGAAGTAACGTTACTATTTTCACTATTTAATATTTATCCGCGTCCCTTGGGCTTGAAATCTTGAGCTCTTGTTCCTGGATCTGCAAGATAAATTCTTCTTGAGTTGATGGGGGCTTGCTGCACACACCTGCGACACGATCGACACTTCACACTCGACAAAATAGAAAAAACACATGCGACACACAAACGACGACTTGACATGCGAGTTGTAAAAACTTGCTAATGTCTTGACCGACACAAACCACATTGTGATACACCATTCAAACACACACACAAGCACTGGATAGCAATGACATAGACTCACAATTCATTCCATGCCATGCATGCACACACACAAACAAGGACGACAAGCCGAGTGCAAGCCATAGGGTTGCACCAACAAACTCCCCCTCGGATTGTTGGCCTTAGAATCTGCTCCCCTTAGTTCAGAGCCATCCCAGCAAGCTTGCAACACTTCCAATGCTGCTGCTCAACCAGCCTCTTGGTCATCATATCAGCTGGCTGCGCCGTCGTCTTCACGTAGTGCAACTCCACTTCACCCGCGGTTACCATGCTCCTCACCCAATGCCACTTCACCTTCATGTGCTTGGTAAGGCCATGAAGAACGGGGTTCTTAGCCAATGCAATAGCACCCTGGCTATCACAGTAGAGTGGGGTAGGTCCTTGCTGCTCCTCCCCCAATTCAGCTAGCAAACGCCGCTGCCACACAACCTCTCTTATGGCACGGAAGAGTGCCATGTACTCGGACTCCACCGAGCTCAATGCTTGGTCCACTTGCTTCTTGCTCTCCCAAGCTGTTGGCCCTCCACCAACACAGCAGATGAAGCCTCCCACACTTGTCATGTCCTCTGGTTCTGATGCCCAAGATGCATCAGAGAAGGCGGTGAGAAAAAGCCTCCCGGGTTCGACTCCATCCGCACCCTTTTGACGCCTTTGTGCCGCCGCGGAGTATTGCAGTCCAACAGTTGCTGTTTGGCCAAGGTACTTGGCCACTCTCTCTCCAGCTGCTACCTGCTCTTCATTAGGGCATTGGACAACCCTAGCCAGCTGCCCGGTAGCAAAGGCTGCATCCGGCCTTGTGTGAACGGCCGCATACATGAGGCTGCCCACCAAGGAGTGAAAACGGCGCCTCTCCTCTTCACCAACACTTTCCTCCGCTGGTCCTTTCACACACTTGAACCCTGAGGGAAGAGGAGTAGCCACATGACCTTCACTCTTCCCAAAGTTTGCAGCCAAGGCCTCCAAGTACTTCTTTTGATGCACTCGCATCCACCGCTTCTCCACATCTCGCTCAATGTGAAGCCCAAGGTAGTAGTTGACGTCACCAAGGGTCTTGCACTTGAACTTGTCTTGAAGCTTCAGCATCACCTCCTTCACAAGGTCAGAGGAGGGTGAGAATATAAGGATGTCATCCACATAAACCACCATGAAGCTCCTCTGCTCCCCCTCGCCAAGCATGAACAACGATTGATCGGCCGTTGAGGGAGTGAAGCCGATCGCCTCCAAAACTTCCCGCAGCTTGATGTACCATTGCCTAGGGGCTTGCTTGAGGCCATAGAGTGCTTTCTTCAGCTTCCACACTCTGCCACTCCCATCATTGTACCCCTCTGGCTGCTCCATGTAGGTTTCTTCCTCCAAAACGCCGTTGAGGAAGGCCGTTACGATATCCATTTGCTTCACCACCCATCCTTTGATGGCCGCCGCGGCGAAGAGGGTTCGAAGGGTTGTACCCTTCACCACAGGAGCATACACTTCATTGTAGTCCTTCTTCTCTTGCTGCTGATACCCCTTGGCTACAAGTCTGCTCTTGTAGCGCTCGATGTTGCCGTCGGCGTCGGTCTTGCGCTTGAAGAGCCACTTGGAAGAGATCGCCTTACGCCCCGGAGGTAGGTTCACCAAGTCAAACGTGTCGTTCTCGATGATGCTCCCCATTTCTTCATCTGAGGCCTTCTTCCACTCCTTCCCATTGGGGCCCTCCCAAGCCTCCTTGGGATTTGTAGGCTCCCCCGGCATCTCCACCGGAGAGAAGAAGGCAAAGGCGCACTCCTCGCTTTCATCTTCCGCATCATCGCCTAGCATGAGAGCCGAACCGGTCAAGGTTGAGTTGGCTGGTCTTCCAAGCCGATCATAGCTCAACCTATTAGGGGGCTGAGTTCTCCTTCTCCCCCTTCCTTCCTCCTCTGCTGCAGG